AGTGACACTATTTTAATGTTATGGCTTGACAGAGACAAGAATACACTTTGGTAAAAAGAGACTCTAGATCTCAGGTATATGGAATTATTGGCATAAAGGGAAAGGTAGTCTTTGACGCTCCAAAAATCCAGATTCATACTTGGGCAAAAGGAGAGGTTATAATGCAACCATCCACTCCCTGTGTTTACCAACAAACAGTGCGCAAATTGTACATTTGAGTTCCTCTTCCTGATTTTTCTTCCAACAACTTATTTTAAAACTGAAAACTGATAAATTCTTATTGAATATGTTTTAAACAGTGGTGTAACCACTACAAGGTTAGTTAAAAAGAAAAACTACAGAGGTGCACGGTTCAAATCCACCAAATGCTCTGCTGGAGAAGGAGGAACAATCTCCTCCTGTACCAGTCAGATGTGATTTGACGGTACACACACACAAAATGATAAAATAAAAAGAAAAACTAAACCTCAGTACCTGATCTTAAGTAGCCGTCTAATTGGGGGAGGGATCATAAATAATCTATTGATTCTGAAAAGATAAAACCAGGTTTTCTTTTCATAACTGAGTAAATGAAGTGATTTTACCAGCAATAAGAAATAATTATCAGCAAACTGTTTTCTGATAACTGAAATTCCTGTCACATAAACATAATGCTTTTTATTCTTTTAGAATTTAATTGTTGGGTTTTAGTACTATAGAAAAATAGTAAATTATATATGTTCTCCGTAAAGTATATGCTATAAAGTATAAATTCTTAGTATTAAATTTTATTTTGATGGAGAAGAATATGATAGCACCAAAAGTTAGAAATTATTTCTCTGATGTTGTTATGGAAAGTACTTGTATCTTATTCATGTACAATTCCAATGCAGTTTAGCGCAGTAATATCATTTCTTGCTACTAACAGAGCCATAACATTGTTAAAATCGCTACTCATTACAGGAAGGTGCCATATTTCTTGAGGATGATTTTCTACAAAGCCTGATTGTCATATCCCTTGTTCTCATTTCCTGGCCTGTTTGTTCAGAGTAGGATAAGTAGGCAATTGTGCCAGACTTTCTGCTAACATGATAACTAATTAAAATGTTACTTATATTTGAAGTTGTCTTTTGTCTGATTGGCTACCGTTAATGTGAGTGACTGTCAAGTGTTGGATCAAAAGACCTCTACTGGTCTTCCAGAGATGTTTCATGAAATCCCAGCTATTACAGATTTTGAGACATAGTAGGAAAAATTCCTTTTATTATATACCAAAAAACTTTTTTTTTGTACCATGTTAATTTTTCAGCAAAATGATATCTTCAGATCTTTCCCTTTTTAATAGGGGTTAGCCTCCTTTTCTATTCTTTTGAATCAGAATATTTTCCAGCTCAAATATGTTATTTACTAAACTTTAATTTAGCTTCATTAAAATAAGCATCAAACCTATTGTACAAAGTTACCAAGACTGTAATGTTTACAGAAGCCAACTGTCACAGCCTTCTCCCATGAGGTGACCAGTGGTATGGAACCAGAAACCTTATAGTTAGCAGCCAGATGGCTTAATCCTGTTTGACCAACTCTTCTCCATGGCCCCAGTAAAAATATGAAAATATTTCACATTAATAATTCCTTCAAATGATATGTATTTTGTCTGGGAAAAATGAAGGATCTCATGGTTAAACCAGTTATTGACTGTGCATTTGCTAGATATTTTCTATATTTTTTACTCCATGCTCCACTTCATTGTTAAGTATGAAGATAAACCCTAATCCCTCCCAGCATGAAAGAAGAACAGTTTTGGAATAGTTGTGTGGCTTTTTGACACTTAATCTTACCAATCTGTTGATAGGTAGCCCTGATTTCTTTGAAACTGGGGCTCAGAGAACTGAAATCAGTTGTTATTGTTGTTGTTGTTAAGTGCCGTCTAGTCGTAGACGACTCATAGTGACTCTATGAACAAAAGACCTGAGCACTGTTCATAGAGTTTCCGAAGGCAAGTCATTTCAGAAGTGGATGCCACTCCTGCTTCCAAGCTTGTGGTTGCTGTGATGCTAAACACTGTGACACTGATGTGCCACATGCGATAATGGTTACAGTGTTTGGTGGAGCTTCCCGATTAAAACAAGCTTGGAAGCAGGAGTGGCATTCACTTGTGATTAAAACAAGCTTGGAAATCACTTAGCTAAGTAAATAATTAATTTGAACCCTAGTGTTTCTGACTTGGAAGCTTTACACATACTGCCTGTCTGTAAGGCAGAAATAATTGTAGTCTGAGAACAAAATAGAATGTTTAGTAGAAAAGGTACACATATAAACTGCTCAGGTAGTTCAGAAAGAAAAACATTACCTTATTGTGAGGGGTCAGTAGAGACTTTGCAATGGGAGTTAAATTTGACTTTTAGCAGAAAGAAGAGATAAAGATTTAGATACTCATTTCAGGTAGAGGAAAAGGAAATCCTAAAACCGCCATCTTATTTTTAACAGAGCGTCCTCATCCAAGAGAGACTCAATTACACATTTTTGGTTGGGGAATTAGACATTGCTGAGCCCTGAGCCCAGATCTAGGGTGTTTAGGTTAGCATCCTGTTCTAGTTTTGAGTCCCCACACTTGACTATAAAGATAATAAAAGTGGTGGAGTGTTTTTCACAACTAGCATAGTAACACTATAGCAGGAAAGTTTTGCCTACAACAGACCTGCAGTTTGGGTATTTTATTGGCACCTCTTTTATCCTCAACTATACCTTCATTTTTATACCTGTGCTAGCTGTTTTAAGTAGCATATCTTCCGGGTAATATGCTTGTGAACTAATCTTTAAACTTAATCTCTGTCTGACTGACTCAGCCTCGAGACTCCTCCAGTATTCAATAAAATAATTGTTCTTATGGATAGTACAATGTAGTTTAGGAAACCTCTTCTAAAAGTGATGAAATATTTAGGGAGCTCTGGTGGCCTGGTGGCAAGAAGCTGCATTGCAATCCCAGAGGTACGTAGTTGAAATCTACCAGATGCTCTGCTGGAAGAGGGGCAGTCTCTTCCTGTACCAGTCAGATCTGATTTGACGGGACACACACAAAAATAAAATAAAATAAAAAAGTGATGAAATATTTGGAAGAGGGAAAGAATGAGCACAGAGAGAGGGTATTAAAGAAGGGACGGCAGATATATGACCTTTCTCCCTATTTAAATCTTGGCTAAATTGCCTGTTCGAGTGTTTAAGGAAGAAAACCTAGATTTGTGTCCTAAAATACTCACATGAAAAGTCTGATAGCCCTTTTTCCTCTGCCCCATCCAGTAGGAAAAGGGGGCATTGTATTTCATAGTTACTGAAAATACTTTGTAAAAATCTTTAAATGGTTTTATAAAAATCTTAATTCTGTATAACCAAGCCTCAGTGAATAGTTTAGCCAGCTATTGATCACTTGAACTTCTTCCCAAATAAAGGTAAATGAAAAGTTCAAGACTAGTTGCTTTTAGACAGCTGTGATTTTTTCCAACATTCTGTAGCCATTTTTTTTTTCTGGAAGAAAGACAGATATTCCCTAAGTGGAATTCTTCCTGTGTCAGTGTGTGTATATGTGTGTGTACACATATGTGTTGTGCAGGTACTTCCCTTCTCCCCAGCCCTTTTAGAGTTGATGGCTTTGTCCCTGATTGTTCAGTATAATAGTTTGCAGATTCACTAAGAGAGCTTTTGTAGTAATGCTTGCTTTATTTTTTTTTCTCTTCCACTCTTGTTTATTTTTTACTTTTTTTCCTTTGTGATGTGACATTTTCAGCTGATGTATTGAAAGCAAATCCTTCTAATTTGGGAGCCCAGATCACAAGAGTGAGTTTTTCTACCAGTGTCTTAAGTTGTATATCTTTTCTTTGTGTGTCTACCTACCCTTTCCCCCTCCCAGTTCAATAAATACTCAAAACACATTTCATAAATATTAGATAAGAAAATTCCTATGTCTGTTGAGCATCATGCCTTTCCACAAAGCAATGTCCACTTTATATTGGGCCAAATTCCTTTTTGTGGTGCTGTTGTGAAAGCATAGGCTATTGTGTATGTTCTGTTTTGCTTATTCTTCTATATTATCTACTGTGCTGGAATCAATTTTAGTTCTGTCTGCATTGCAAATAGAGATGTCTGGACTCTGTCACCAGTATGTCATGACACTGTGTTGTTTTGTTTTTACATTTTGTTTGTTTTTATTGTGACTGTTACTTCTTTAATTTTGTTCTTGTTTTTAAGAAAAGTTTTATAGTAGCTTCTAAGAATAAAAAACCCATTCTATTACATGAATTTTAAATATTAAATTCTTTAATTTATCCCTGTTCTCTCTCTTCATCCTCTGAATGTTCTTTCCACAGCTATCAAACAATGAAAAGCTATATATATGCTCTCTAATTTCAGCAGACTGACCAAAACAGTCAGGCTGGTGGGCTCTGAACATGTTAGCATTGGAAACCTCTAGGACTTGTTTAATAAAAGTAGGGAAAACCTCTTTATGCTGAAAAGAAATAATAGCACCTTTTCATGGTGAAATAAAAGTATGCTTTTCTATTTGTGAGTTCGGATTCAAAAAACCTTCCCATGTAAGCTGTACATTGCTTTTGAAGATCTTACACCTGGGTAGTTTTTATTTATTTATTTATTTATTTATTTATTTTTATTGACCTAATCCCTTTCTGTTCTCTTTGACCTCTGTTAAGATTTATCTCATGCTCTGTTTGTCTAGTTTTGCATCCTGGGAGAGCAGATGATTAAATAGTCCATTTCTTTCCTCTCAGTATTCTGAAATGTGCTTGTTGCCTTTGAAGTCACTAAATAAAGGCCCAATAGTACACTGTCTTAAGTAGACCACAGATATTCCCAAATGTTTTGCCCAGAGTAATCAGCCACTGTATTTTCAATTACATACAATAATAATGTATTCTGCATTAGCTCTGTAACCACTGACTAAAAGTAAATATTCTAAAGGCCCAGTATCATCCTAAATTACTTAGCCTCTTTTCTTTCTTTTATCTCAGAGGTTGAAAGATCTGAAGCAAAGAGAGTTTGCTCGAAATGTCTCCTCAAGATCCCGAAAGGATGAGAAGAAACAGGAAAAGGCCCTACGACGGCTCCATGAATTGGCAGAGCAAAGGAAACAAGCTGAATGGTGAGAGAATATTTTCCAAGAGGGAACTTGGTTATTGATGTTAGTTACTGTTAAGTTGGTCCCAACTCCAAGCAGCCATGTAGATTAGAACTGCTCCATAGGATTTTCAAGGGTGTCACTTACAGAGGGGACTTTTTAATAGCGCTTTCCAAACTAAAAATATGTCTTTGGGTATGCACTATAGGTTTAATAGCATATACATTTTTCCTCTTTCACTTTTTTTTTAATTCCTTGTTGCACATTTTCTTCTTCCTAATCCCCTTACCCACCCCAAAATGTACACCTTGTTCCAGATTGTTCTCATCTATATAATGCATAATCATATATTCCTGTCAGACACTTCTTCCCCTCATCTTTTCTAATGCAGTGTGCATTACCTCTCCACTCTTTCCCATTTTCTCCCCTCTCCCTGCATTTCTGTTCTACTTTATAACAGTGGCCGTTATGCAGTATTTGGCCTCTTGTGACTGAGATATTTCACTCAGCATAATGTCTTCCAGAATCACCCATGTTGTGTAATGTTTTATGAGTTCATTGTTTTTCAGTGCTGTATAGAATTCTGTTGGGTGAATATGCCATAGTTTTTCTATCCATTTGTTGATGGGCACTTGGTTTGCTTCCATCTCTTTGCTATGGTGAATAACACAGCAATAAACATCAGTATACATAAGAGCATATACTTTTAAAGCTATACCCTACTCATTATTTGTGTGATATTAAATCAAATTACCTAAACTCTCTGTGACTTAGTTTCATTTTTGTAAAATATAGATAGATAATTACCTCTGAGAATTGTATAATGAGTGAATGGGTTAATATATCCAAAGTACTTAAGAGAATGCCAAACACATAGAAAATGTTCAGTAAGTGATACAACTATTACTGTTATTTTTTCCATTTGTTAATATACTCCTCATGTAGAAAAGTAAGTATGTATTTTATAGCTTAAAAATACTTTGGTACAGATTCAGATAGTGAAACTCCCTTTTAAGCACTGCACCGTTAATCCTTAATACTCTAAAAGCATTTCTTTGCAGGTCAGGTTTCTGCTGTAAGTTTTAATGTTCTTTTGTAGTTCTTACCAGTTTTCATTCTGTGCTGATGTTTAACGTTAGTTGGAATTGACCCGACCTGGGGCTGAATTTCCAGACCAGTCTATGAGTATTTGAGGCTTTTATTTGTTACATGAGCTGTGTGCCTCAATCTGGACGATTTAAGCTCCTTTCTGTTTATTTTACTATTTGGCCAGGAACAGCAGAGGGAATTGGGAACAACAGAAGGAAAATAGTTACAGTAGAAAGAAAGGTTATGATTGTGACAGTTTAAAGTTTATAGTCAGTTTGGCGTCAAAGTTCCCAAGTTTCCATTTTCTAACTTAATAGGTCTATTTTGTTTACTGAATCTGTTATTTTATTTGCCTTTTTTTTATTTTGGCAGAAGGAGGAAGGTAAAGAACATCTATAGTGTATACTTTGATGCTTTGAAGCAGGATTAACCTGTGAGTTCTGTAGAGTTAAACTGTCTGTAAACTGGTTCTAATTCCTTCTCTGGCAGTTCTTTTAAGCACATTCTTCTTGGGCATTTTGCAAATATGTGCACACACAAAAAATGTTTTATATGGTCCCTTATTTGCAGAATAGAACTGTATTTCATGGGCTTTCAAGTCTGCAACCTTTCAGAAGGCTTTGCTTCTGAGGTGAATCTAGTTGGGCTCATTATGCCATCCTTTCACTTAGTTAAGTGATTAACTGTTTGACCACCTATGAACTCTTTATAAAAAGTATATACTGCCCCCACTCCAGGGAGCACTCCAGGTAGGCCGGACAGAGCATGCCTGCTGGTGCCACTTCTGTGCCAGCCACAGAAAGCTTGGGCAGGGAGAGAGAGTGACCGATCCTCCCCAGCCCCACCTGGTCAGCGCCACTGCTTTGTCCCCTCCTGACTCCAAAATGTCTCAAGTGCAATGCTGAGGCCCCTGCTTTGCCGAGGACAGCCTGCCTCCACCACAGCCACGTTGGGGGCTACACTGGTCAACAGTGGTTTCTGAATTGACCTCTATTCTTAACTGTTCTGTATATGCTGCATTTAGACTTAACCTATGGCAAAGAAGGCATTATTATTGTTATTTTTTAAAGGAAACTTCTTTTTTTAAAAAAAATTTACTATTTTTTTGTGCGTGTACCGTCAAATCAGATCTGACTGGTACAGGAGGAGATTGTACCTCCTTCTCCAGCAGAGCATCTGGTGCGTTCGAACCACACACCTCTGGGATTGCAATGCAACTTTTTGCCACTGGGCCACCAGAGCACCCAAGGAAACTTTTCTTGATGAATTATGAAGGTATACAAAAGCAACATATGCCTACAAAGCTGTAGATTCAGGTCCAAGTTGCTGTCCCAAATGAGTAACTGGCTTTCCCTCCACCCCTTTTTGTGTGTGGGGGTGTGGTGTGTGTGTGTGTGTGTGTGTGTGTGTGTGTGTGTGTGTGTGTATATATAAATAATAAAAGTGCCTTAGCATGTGCTGCAGCTGTCACCACTACAGAAAGCTGGTTTACAGATGTTTCCACTGAGCATTAGAATAAAGAGTATCATGTGCTGTGGGGGGGGAAGTATACTTCGGGACATACATATTTTTCTTCAGAAGTGACTTGTGGTTTTCAGTTGTTTAAATGAACAATTAAAATATAACCAAGTAATCAAAACAACTATGAGATGTCATCTCACCTCATTAAGTATGGCAAAATTTAACAGAACAGCAAACATCAAATGCTGGCAAGATTGCAGAGAAACTGGAATCCTTATTCACTGTTAGTGAGAGTGTAAACTGGTGCAACTACTGTGGAAGGCGGTGTGGCACTTTCTCAAAAAGTGGCAAATAGAAATACCATTTGACCCAGCAGTTCCACTACTAGGAATATACCCTAAAGAAACCATGACCACCACCCAAGCAGATATGTGCTTACCCATGTTATTGAGGCTTTGTTCACAGTAGAAAAGAGTTGGAAACAACCTAAGTGCCCATCAACAAACAAATGGATAGAGAAGTTCTGGTATATTCACCCAATGCAATACTACGCTGCATTGAAAAACAAGGAATTTATGAATGAGTGGAAGCCCAAAATCTCTGTAAATGTTTATGAAAATTAATAAAATATAATTATAGAAAAAAAAAGGAAAAAAAAACAAGGAATTTGTGAAATAGTGTACAAAATGGGTGACCCTGGAGGACATTATGTTGAGTGAAATATCTCTGTCACAAAAGGACAAATATTGCATAGGGCCACTGTTGTAAAACGGGACTAGCATTGGGGTTGAGGGAAGACTGAGAAAGAGGGTATAAATAATATGTACTGCATTGAAACAGATGAGGGAGAGAACTGTTTAAAAGACATTATGTGAATAGGTATTATTGTCATGACAGGAGTCCAGAACAAAGGCTGCACAGTGCAGTGGACTTGAAGGGAGGGATTATATAACAATGAAAGAATTTTTCTGACTGTGCAACAGCAGAGAAGGTGGCTGTGGTGGCCGTGGCAACAGAAGATGGCCGATTTTCTGAAAGGATTGCCTGTCTACAAAAGCAGTTTTAGCCGATTCCATGCTGAATCTGTCTGCAAAGCCTCAAACAGCCGGCCCTCAGTCTACCTGCCTACACGGGAGTACCCATCTGAACAAATCATTGTGACAGAAAAGACAAATACCCTCTTGAGATATCTACATCAGCTGTGGGGCAAAAAGAACACCGCCAAGAAGTGAGATCAGGAGCAAGTGGACCTGGAGGGTGAGAGCTCAGAGCCGCCACACAAGATTGCACGGACCGCAGCCAGGACATACATGAGGACACTTAAGACTCACACTGCCCTCACTGCCTCCTGTCATGTGTGCTCCTTGCCGTGCAACCATGCCCTCTCCACCCCACCCCATCCCCACTGCCCACGCTGTGCCACCCACACTGTCTCAGAGCTGATGTATTTCTTTTCCTCAAGTTTTTATTTATGCTGTAAAGTGTACCTAGCGATGGTTAAAACGGGCGTCAGACCCCATAGTATGATGTCCGTAGATGCTTTTTTTTTTTTTAAAACCAATTGTTATTTTTCCCACCCAGCCCATCTCCCTTTGTTCCTCCAGTTTTCCTCCTCACAAATGAAAAGGTGGCCAAGAGCATAGGAGCCAAGGTCCCCAGCCTCTGGGTTCACAGGGACAGTGAGCAGCCTTCTCCTACTACCCACCTGGTCGCCGACCCAGGCCTTTAAGATGTGGCCTGGTCTGTTGTTCCACTGGGAACTTTTCTGGGCCCAGATCAGACTTGCTCTGAGTGTGCTCATGGGGGCAGGGAAGTCCTTCTCGAATTTTCCCTTTGGTCATTTTATCATGGACCAGCGCATGCTCTGTGTCCACCCCAATTAAAGGATCTTTCCTATCAAAGAAAAGAAGAATTTTTCTTTTACTTTACAAAGTGAAGAGCGAATTGGGAGGGAGGAGGTAGACAGGGAGAAAAGTACAACAGTGAATGTATGGAAATCCTAAGCCTCTATAAATTTTCATTAAAATTAATTAAAAAAAAACCAAACATATAACCAAATGAAAAGATTTTGCTCCATCATCAGGTATTTCATTTTTCTAAAAGTAGTGGTTGTTATGTGTCACTGACTCACCCTCAACTCATAGCGACCCTATCTATGTACAGTACAGTAGCTCTGAACCCTGCCCTATCCTAAACCAGTCTCACTGAGTCTGACACATCAACCCCTATTGGCCCTTTACTTTATCAATCCATGTATCTGGATCTTCCTCTCCTGTGTTGTCCCTCCACCCTTATGAGCATGATGTCCTCCAAGAACTGGTCCCTCCTGGCCATGTGCCCAAAATATGTGAAACAGAGTTTCAAAATCTATGCCTCCAAGGAGAAACTTGGTTTCACCCTCTCAAAGATAGACATAACATACCTGTTTGTTCTCTTGGCGGTCCGTGGTATACATTCAGTACTCCAGCATCGCAACTCAAAGGCATCAATTCTATCCTCAGTCATTGTCTAGCTCTCTGATGCATAGCAAATAATTGCAAAGATTAGGTGCCCTTAATCTCAAGACTGACGTCATTGCTCTTTAGCATGTTTAAGCTGTTCTGAAGGAATTGGCAAAAAATAAGGCCCTAGGAATTAATAGCACACCAGTTAACATATTTGAACAAATAGATGCTTTCCTGGATGTGCTTACCATACTGTGCCACGAAATCTGAAGGACAACTACCTGACCATCTTGACTAGAAGAGATCCATGTTTATTCCTGTCCCAAAAAAAAGTTGATCCAACAGAATGTGAAAATTATCAAACAATATCTCACACAAGAAAAATCATGCTGAAGATCACCCAAAAAAGACTGGAATAGTACATTAACAGAGAAGTACCAGAAATACAAGCAGGGTTTAGAAGAGGCCATGGCACTAGAGACATAATTGCCAATGTCAGGATCTTGGCTGAAAACAAAGAATATCAGAAGAATGTCTATGTGTGATTCATTGACTTTGCAAAGATATTTGACTATGTAGACCACAACAAATTGTTGCTAACCTTGAGAAGAATGGAAATCTCGAACACTTGATTGTACTCACACTAGACATATACTTGAACCAGGAGGCAGTCATCAGAACACAGCAAGAGTATTTGCATGACCCCAGAGTACGGTTGGGGAGCTCTGATGACCTGTCTGTAAGAAGTTTCACCCAAAGCCCAGGCTTCTTTGGCAGATTAAATACACTAGCAACTCTGCTATAGAAAGATGGGCCATATACAGTCTCAGCTTCCTGTAGGAAGGTCAGCTGTGAGTTGATTGTGACTTGATAACAGTGAGTTATGAGTATAGTACTATTGAAGTAACATAGCAAATCCTGAACAAAAGAGCAAAATTAATCTTTTATTCCATTTGCGTTTTTGTTATTTTTCTCTTTTGCTACGGGCTTAGTTTCTATAACATTTTAGACATCTCTTGCTACCTAGATTTGTTTCGTTCCCTTACTCCAACAAGAATTCACATAGCAAGAGATACCACATTACCTGATCCTATTTGGACAGTTAGTAGCTAGAGTTTAGATAAAAAAGGACTTTGTCCAAATATTGTTTATTTGGTTCTTGAGTTTGATTAGCAAGGGATACATACCTATGCAGTTCCACATACTACAGAAATTTCAGGCAAAATGTTGTTTTTAGGTGCCGTCAAGTCACGTACGGCTCATAGCTAGCCTCTGAACAAAGGATCTGAATCCTGTTCTATCCTGAGCCTTCTTTGCACTTCTGACACATAAGAGCTCATCATTGCAGCAGTCACCATGTCAGTCCACCTAGATGAGGATCTTCCTCTCCTTTGCTCCCCCTCCACCCTTCCTAGCTTCATGTATAAAACAACTGATGTTGAGACGTTTTCAGTGTTTCTTTTTTTAAAGATGAGGAATTATTACTTGGTAGCATCATGATGTCAGTTCTGAATGTCTGGGAATTATCCAGACAAACAAAAACAAATGCTTGGATGTAATGCCTTTGATGTATAGGTAGAGACTCTTTTTCTAAAATAGATGTATTGACCACTGGCTGCCCTTAGAGTATTCTAAGTATCTATGTTTAACTCATAAAATGTATCTAAAAGCACAGGGGAAATTAGGTTTTTTTCTTTTTCTTTTCTTTTTTTAAATTACCTAGGAAGAAACAGCAATAACTGACTGATTTTGGAAATTTAACTTAGTGAGCTAACAGTATGAAATTGGAAATTTCAGTTTGATAGCAGGGATGAGGGAATGATCACCTATGATGAATGGTAGAGCATAAAAGCTGAGTGTTTTGTAAGATTGTAAAATTTATCCCTAAACCTGTCTTTTCTATTTTCTAAACCTTCCCATAGTGCACCTGGAAGTGGTCCCATGTTCCGTCCAACCACGGTGGCTGTAGATGAAGAAGGTGGAGATGATGAAAAGGATGAATCAGCTGCAAATAGTGGCACAAGTGCCGCTACCAGTAGTGGCCCGACATCTGAACTCTCCTTAGATAAAGGAGGCCCTTTCACTGCAGTGCAAAATACTAACACCACTGGACTGACACAGGCTCCTGGCCTAGCATCTCAAGGCATCAGCTTTGGCATTAAAAATAATCTAGGGACCCCATCACAAAAGCTGGGAGTGTCATTTTCCTTTGCCAAGAAGGCTCCTGTCAAACTTGAATCAATAGCATCTGTTTTTAAAGACCACGCTGAAGAAGGAACATCTGAAGATGGGACAAAACCTGATGAGAAAGGTTCTGATCAAGGATTACAGAAGGTGGGAGACTCCGATAGTAGTGGTAATCTTGATGGCAAAAAAGAAGACGAAGACCCCCAAGATGGAGGGTCGCTTGCATCGACATTATCTAAGTTAAAAAGAATGAAGCGAGAAGAAGGATCTGGGGCTACAGAACCTGAATATTACCACTATATCCCCCCAGCGCACTGCAAAGTAAAACCTAATTTTCCCTTCCTACTATTTATGAGAGCCAGTGAACAGATGGAATGTGATAATAGTGCACACCCAAAGAATGCTTCAGAGAGCAAAAAAAGTCATTCTCCCAAACCTAAAGGCAGTACCAAGGTTGCAGCAAGTCAAGCGTCAGAAAAGACAGTCGGTGATGTCTCTGAGCAGCAGAAAGAAAGCAGTGAGGCCCAGTCCCCAGAGCCTGCAAGCAGAGCTGAGACAAAGAAACCCTCAGGAGGAGATGGAAGTGAGCAGAGCTTAGAGAGCCAGAAGGGATCAGAGACCCAAATGTGTGAGTCTAATGCTGCTAAGGAAGCCTCTCAGGCCACCCCAGCAGGGAAAGAAAGCCAGGAAGGACCTAAACACGCTACAGGTCCCTTCTTCCCAGTTTTGAGCAAAGATGAAAGTACTGCCCTCCAGTGGCCATCAGAACTATTAATTTTCACTAAGGCAGAACCTTCAATTTCATACAGTTGTAACCCTTTATACTTTGACTTTAAACTTTCAAGAAACAAGGATGCCAGAGGTAAAGGGCCAGAAAAGCCAAAGGATACTAGTGGCACCTCGAAGGACCATCTCCAAGACTTTGATCCTGCAGAGCCAGATAAAAGCAAGGAAGATGACAATGACAATGTAGTCCATTCCTCAGCCGGCAGAATAGATGCACCTGCTTCAGGATCTGCCTGCAGCAACCTAAATAAACAGGAGCCTGGAGGTGGCCATGGCTCAGAGACAGAAGACACAGGAAGAAGCTTTCCCAGCAAGAAAGAACGATCTGGAAAATCTCACCGACACAAAAAGAAAAAGCACAAAAAATCTAGTAAACATAAGCGGAAACACAGAATTGACCCAGAAGAGAAAAGTTCTAAAGCAGAATCTGGAGAGAAGTCAAAGAAGCGCAAGAAACGAAAGCGAAAGAAGAATAAGTCAGCTCCAGCAGATTCCGAACGGGGCCCCAAACCTGAACCCCCTGGGAGTGGCAGCCCAGCACCACCAAGAAGACGTCGTCGTGCTCAAGATGATTCCCAAAGGAGATGCCTCCCCGCTGAAGAGGGGAGCAGCGGCAAGAAAGATGACAGTGGAGGTGGCGGCAACTCCCAGGATCATGGTGGGAGGAAACACAAAGGGGAACCTCCAGCTTCATCCTGCCAGCGTAGAGCTGGCACCAAGCGGGGCAGCCGATCCAGCCATAGAAGCAGACCAAGTAGTGGAGAAGAGGACAGTGATGATGCCTCATCACACCGGCAGCACCAGAAGTCTCCGTCCCAGTACAGTGAGGAGGAGGAGGAAGACTCAGGCAGTGAGCATTCCCGGAGCCGCTCGCGGTCTGGCCGGCGCCATTCCTCACGCCGCTCTTCCCGACGTTCTTACTCGAGTAGCTCAGATGCTTCTTCTGACCAGAGCTGCTACAGTCGACAGCGCAGTTACTCTGATGACAGCTACAGTGACTATAGTGACCGGTCACGAAGGCACTCCAAGCGCTCCCACGACTCCGATGACTCAGACTATGCCAGCTCCAAGCACCGGTCCAAACGGCACAAATACTCATCTTCTGATGATGACTATAGCCTCAGTTGCAGCCAGTCCCGCAGTCGGTCTCGGAGCCATTCCAGGGAGCGATCAAGATCCCGAGGCTGCAGTCACAGCAGCAGTTGTAGCCGCAGCCGGAGCAAGCGGAGAAGCCGCAGTACTACAGCTCACAGCTGGCAGCGGAGCCGAAGTTACAGCCGAGATCGCAGTCGCAGCACCAGAAGCCCTTCCCAGAGATCTGGCTCCAGGAAGGGCTCATGGGGTCATGAGAGCCCTGAGGAAAGACGTTCTGGTCGTCGGGACTTTATTCGCTCTAAGATTTACCGCTCCCAGTCCCCCCATTATTTCCGATCTGGCCGAGGAGATGGTCCTGGTAAGAAAGAAGATGGTAGAGATGATGGTAAAGGGACAGGCCCACTCTCTCAGAACAGCAGCATTAGTGCAGGGAGACGATCAGATGGTGACTGCAGCCCTGAAGACAAGAACTCTATGACTGCCAGACTGCTACTGGAGAAGATCCAATCAAAGAAAGTGGAGAGGAAATCCAGTGTTAGTGAGGAGGTGCTGGCCACTCCTAATAAATCTGGACTCAAGCTCAAGGACCCCCCACAAGGTTACTTTGGACCCAAACTCCCTCCCACTCTTGGCAATAAGCCTGTCCTGCCACTGATAGGGAAGCTACCAGCTACACGGAAGTCCACCAGTAAGAAATGTGAAGAATCGGGCTTGGAAAGAGGGGAAGAACAAGAACAGTCAGAGACAGAAGAGGGACCACCAGGAAGTAGTGATGCTCCATTTGGGCATCATTTCCCCTCAGAGGAAACAACTGGCCCCTTATCAGACTCACCCCCAGAAGAGCCAAAATCTGAAGATGCTACTGCTGATCGTACTGTGGCTCCGATGGGCACCCCAGTGCACTCTGACTGCTACCCTGGGGACCCAGCCACCTCCCATAGCTACCTCCCTGACCCCAGTGATGGGGATGCCCTAGAGTCCCTGGATAGCAGCAGTCAAGCAGGCACTGTAGAATCTAGCTTGCTGCCTATACCACCAGACCTTGAGCACTTCTCTAGTTACGCGCCTCCCAGCGGGGAGCCTAGCATTGAATCGGCAGATGGGGCTGATGATGCCTCATTAGCCCCCTTGGAGAGTCAGCCCATCACCTTCACTCCTGAAGAGATGGAGAAGTACAGCAAGCTCCAGCAGGCTGCCCAGCAGCACATCCAGCAGCAGCTTCTGGCCAAACAAGTAAAGGCGTTTCCAGCCTCAGCTGCCCTGGCCCCAGCTACTCCAGCCTTGCAACCCATTCACATTCAGCAGCCAGCCACAGCTTCTGCCACCTCCATCACAACTGTTCAGCATGCCATCCTGCAACATCACGCCGCCGCCGCGGCAGCTGCCATTGGCATTCATCCTCATCCTCATCCCCAGCCACTTGCCCAAGTGCATCACATTCCCCAGCCCCATCTGACTCCCATTTCCTTGTCCCACCTCACTCATTCAATCATCCCTGGCCACCCAGCTACCTTCCTTGCTAGCCATCCTATCCACATCATTCCTGCCTCAGCTATCCATCCTGGACCCTTCACCTTCCATCCTGTTCCACATGCCGCACTCTACCCTACCCTACTTGCCCCACGGCCTGCTGCAGCAGCTGCCACTGCCCTCCACCTTCACCCATTACTTCACCCCATCTTCTCAGGTCAGGACCTGCAGCACCCCCCGAGCCATGGTACATGAGTTGGGGTTGGAAGCCCAGATAGGACCAGGGAAGGTAACCTGTGAATCTTCCCTTGAAGGTGTTGAGCCATTAATACCAGCTAGTAGAAGCTGGAGTGGGCAGTGTCTTTTAAAAGCCAAAGAATGTACTTTTGGCTTAAAAGGGTGGTTTTAGATTTGAGATTTACTTTGGGTTTACTATCAGGGATTCCCCCCTTTCCTGTTTGACTCTTCCTCTCCTAATCCTATACTAAGAAAAACCAATAAGTGTTCCCCACCCATCTGCAGCAATATCTAAACTGGGAAGTTTAGATACTCCCCTCCTCCTTGTACTTTTTTTATCTTCTGCTCTTCCCTTCTCTAAATCTTAAGGCTTTTTCCTCCTTTCTGACTGGCAGGTTATATCACCAAGCACTTGCCCATCTAATCTTGCCTTCTCAGTGTCACACACAGGGAAGGCCATGCTGTCCTCACACTGGTGAAAACACCACGGCTTTGGATCAGTAGTGTTGACTGTCTTTTGGTGACCCTGCCCGAGGTGTGGCTCCGATGGGAGTCTGATTTGGAACCAGGGGATTAGATGCTGCTCTGGCTGTGATTCTGTCCGTTTCCCTCACAGAGCCACCCATTTGGCACTGTTGTTCTCTTGTCCCTCATCCCAGAAGAGTCATCTGCATATCCCAGAAAAGAAGATCATATCATGAATAGAAGCTATGTGGAATATGGAGTCACCCATGTGCTTCTCCACAGAGGAACTCATGTGTCTGAAGGGTATTTTTTTCTTGTCATGTTGATGTTTCTTCCTTAATTTATAGGATTTTTTTTAATGTAAAAAAAAAAAATTGCACTGAACTCTCTAAATGTAAATGCTGCTTTTTGTAGCTCATATAAAAAGGTTCCATATTTGTAGTATACTGCAATAATATTTTTTACATCCAGCTCTTTAAGTGATCCTTGTTCTGGTGGCTTTATGTAAATATGTTTGCCCTAGTTGAATTAAGAAACTTAAAGGTTATAAAATGAAAACAAAAAATAAAGCATTTGTTTTCTGCTAGATGCAAATATGACTAAGCATGTATATTTTACCAAGCTCATGTATTTTTTGAAGTTATGAATTATAAAAACAAAAACAAAAAAAATGTTGTTTAACTTTTTTTTCTGGGACAAAATATTGTGTAATTTGCAGTAACTGGTGCTCCCAGCACTGGGATTTTCAAGCCAGTAGGCAACAGTCCACTGGGAGTGTCAGAGGGATGCTTAGTTCTGACAAGTCTCTCTCACGTCCTTTATTGTTTCGTGTGTTGTTTTTCCCCTAAGAAACAAGTGGGCTCCACAGAGGAGGAAAGGGGGTCTATGAACTTTTTTCTCTAGAGGCAATGAGATACTCAGTGTGTCTAGTGAGAATGATGTCCACTGGGTTTTTGGACCCCTTCTTCCAGGCAGTCCCTTTGCCTTCCAGGTCCCCTCTGACAATTTTTTTTTTATTTTATTTTATTTTTAATGTGCCTTTGATGTTGGCTAGAAACTGAAGTACATGGAGGATGATAAAGTTGAGACTGCTTTCTTCCTCTTGTTGGGAGGTGAACACATTTGGGAACCTTTCAGAGTCTTTTGCTTTGGAGTTTCCATGAATTCTGCCCACATTAATCTGAGCAGTAGTTTTTTCCTTCCCATGACACTGACCAGAAGAATTACCACCCCAGTCCCTCTCCCTGCCCTTTTGCCTTGCACTCGGGCTAATAGCCCTAATTAATACACTGACCCAAAAGACATTGTAGGTGCTGTTCCTTTGGTGTATTTAGTTCCCTCTTGGGCATTTCTCCACTTGTTCCTGTGGCTAGAATTGGTTGGTTACGTGAGAAGGAAAACCCTACTTAATCTTAACCTAGCTGTATGTTCCTTTCTTCTCAAAATCCTAAAAGAAAACGTATTTGGCATTTATGAGACAGAAGTGCTGGGCAAAGGAGGTTCTTGCCTGCCACATTCCTATTCACTGCTCCTCATTGAGGTCTCAAACACTTTATGTGTGATTATCATTGGGAAAAATGAAATCATCTGTTCAAATGAAGGGACTCATTTTTCTTTGCAGCTCATGTAAATATTTAAATAATACAGTATTAACATTTCCGTGCTGCTTCCCATTAGCTTGTAGATTGAGCCATATTCTGGCCACCTCTCTGCCTTCCAGAGGGCAATTTTCTTCAGCTTCCAGAGTAGTGATTTCAAAATTTAAAAAAGAAGGAAAAACAAAATAACCTTACTTACAAACATAACAGGCTGTATTTAACTTTCTCACATATGATAGAGATATATATACTGTAAAATGAGGGAACTTTCTAATAAACCAATGATTTGTGGAAACTTGGCAGAGTCTGTCGTGATCAATACCTGTCCACAAATTGGGGAAAGGTAGAGTTTTGGATTATAGCATATTTGAAGTGAACAAATAGTAGATTCTTGTGAAGTGGTTGGTTGTGATGGTTGGAATTGTCCTCAAAGCACATTTTGCTCAGCTCAGAGGAGAAAGGATTAATTGGAGTTTGGAAGACAGGAATGGCGAAGCTTCATCTCATGGTGTTAGGAGAGGCCATTCCTTGGAAAGGGACATCAGACTTGGAAAGGTGGAGGGACAGCAAGAGAAAGGAAGAGTCTCAACGAAATGGATTGTCACAGTGACTGCAGCAGTGAACTCAAGTATGTCAGTGATGATGAGGATGGCACAAGATAAAACAGTTCCAGTTCAAGTGTATCTCCTTTTCACTTGCTCCCCACAAGAACTACTGTTTCATCTTAAATATGTAAACTATGTATTGCATGTAAGTGTTCATTAAATGGATCTGATTTTCTAGGATTTTGTATGAATTTAAGGTCAGTGGGATTATGAAATTCATCTATCCAGCCATTGTACTCCAAGTGGAATTCTCTATTCCAAATGTGGCTTCCTCTCCCTAACCCTGTAATAACACCACAACACTTGAGACCCTTTGGCTAATGTGAAGATATTTGTTGATAAGCAGATAAAAGGCTCCCCTTTTTCACAGTAAAAAAATCACAGAATAAGTGATGAAGTTAAAAATTTGAGGTGAATGTGCCAGTCTATTTCCTAAAATGACAAATAACAGTGCCCAAAAGAAAATGTTGAAAAGTGAATTTTTGCGAACCACTGGGGCTTGAATTGTGGTAGTACTCCCTTCTTAAAGACTTCTTTAACTAATTCAAACCTTGTCACTTGTTTGTCACCTTACATGCTGCAGGTGGCCTTAGCATATATTGTTGCATCATCTTCCTCCCTGACTGGCCTCTTAACTAGATTGTGTAATACCTTGCCTCCTCTATGTTTTCTCTTCCACACTCTTGAGTTCAATTAATTTTGTATTCACAGCTTTTGATAAAATGTAGTTCTGACAGGATAAGAACTGATTCTTAAAATTCTGCTGCCTTATCCCTTAGAATGTTTTCTATAGATCTGAGCATGTCCCTGTCTACCCTTTGAACACCCTATTCTGAGTCCAAGTCTGTCCCTTTGAACCAACACCCTGTTCTAAGAGAGTCCTCGTGGCCTAGTCTGTGAGGAGTTGCATTGCTTACTCAAAGCCTGTTGGTAGTTCAAATCGACCAGCAACTCCAAGGAAGAAAGATGAACAGTCTCCTCCCATGTAATTTACAGCTTCAGAAACCTGCTGGAGTGTCAGCTGTTAATCAGAACTCTCCGGCTTGATGCTAACTGGTACATGCTTTTCTTTTGATCTGTATATTATCCCGCTGGTTTTGGGGGTGGGGAGGTTGGGGGTTTTTTTGTTTGTTTTTATGTTCTTTCCTGTGACTAGACACTTCTTTATTTGATAAAAGACAGCATGCTGAAATTATTAAGAAAATCAACAATGCATTCATGGGCAAAGTTGGGTTTTTTGGGGGTTACCAATAAACTTTTTATTAATACAGAATGAAATAGAAATTGTTCATAAGGACATATATTTTTTTTATATTGGGTAGAACATGGTTGAGATACAACCTTCCCACCTTCACCTACAGTCCCAGTTTTCTAGAGAGAAGAAATGCTAATACTATTGCTTTCCTATTTAGAAAATTGAACTTTGAAATTATACTCAGATAAAGATATATATCCAAACTAAACCATGGTCACTTACTTTGTATCTGAGAGTTGGGCAATGAATAAGGATGACAGAAGAAGAATTGATTTTGAGCTGTTGTGTTGAAGAAGAGCACTGAACTTCTCAAGGACTGCCAAACAAATAGGCCTTGGAGAGAATGCAGCCAGAGTGCCCTTTGGAGGCAAGAATGATGAAGCTTTTTCTCACATACTTTGGGCATGTTGCTAGGAGGGGCTATTCCTTGGAGAGGGACGTGATGCTTGGAAGAGTGGGAGTCTCCAAAGGAAGACCCTCAACCAGGTAGATTGACACGATGACTGCCACAATGGGCTCTAGTGTATCAGGAAGTTTATAGATGGCACAGGATAAGACAGGGTTCAGACCTGTTGTTCATAGGGTCACTAGAAGTCATACTCAACAGCAACTAACAACAAACCACAAAGATGAATTAAAATCCTGAGCACTATACATAAAAGGAACTTAGGAAAATAAAAAATTACAAGCCGGCGTGTCTACCAGAGTTTCTAGAAAGTGGATGTGTTGATTCAAACTTGTGTTTAAATCCTAGTTTTTACTGCCCATTGGCTGTATAAATTTGGCAATTTAGCTAAAACTGTGACAACATGTCTTTATGCTTTAACACTATCTAGAGTGATTTCTTTTGCTTTCCTTGACAGTTTTCTTTGTATCACTCAGTGTTTTGAGCAATTCTAGTTGACTACAAGGATAAAGAAACTCTGGTGGCCTAGTGGTAAGGAACTGCACTGCCAGCACGAAGGCTTATGGTTTGAACCCACCAGATGCTCTGTTGGAGAGAGATGGACATTCTCCTCTGTGATTTTTGCCTCTGAAAACCCACTGGATAGTCAGCTATGATGACTCATTTCTGACTGGACAGCACACAACAATGTTTAAAGGGAACCCTGGCGACACAATGATTAAGTACTTTAGTTACTAACTAAAGTGTCAGCATTTTTAACCCATCAGCTGCTGCTCAGAAAGTCCTGTTAGTCTGCTCCAGTAAAGGTATTGAACCTAAAATGTGTGATGATTGACTACACAGCTCTGAGCTGATAGTCAACGCAGTTAAGCACAGTGGCAGGCTCAGTAGAGACTTTGATAATTACTATTGTTATTTATTCTAACAAATGTGTTTCCTCTGATCTCGGTACAGGGAATTTGGTAGTGAAGAAAGCCCAGACTGGACTTCAGAATGGTTAACCTAGTGAAGGTTAGGATTTTGAGTCGTATTCTGAGGTGATGTGTGAGAAGGGAAGAGCCAAAGAGATTCCAGAATGGTTGGGCAGGATTCAGGGACAGTTGGCTTTCGTAAAAATAAGGATCAAAAAGGTGACACTATGTTCCTTTACTTCTAGAAGACTTCTTGAATCTGGTCCCTGAGTACTGCTTTTTGCGAAGGCAGGCATACAGTGCAATCAGACCTGTCATCACCTTATTTACCTACAGAAGATTACCTTTCTGTTCAAAATTCTCATCCCACTGTGACTTTGTGCTTGCATCTTTAGTTTTTTTGGGGTTTTTTTTCCAGTCTGTCTTACTACTGTAAGTACTACACATTAGAACCTGAAACTAGAGAAACCATGCCCTTAACTCATGGACACAATCCAGTGTGCATAGACTGGTTCAACAGTAAGGTCAGTGCTGTTAAGAACCTTCCTTCCTGAGTGTAAAATGGTGCAACCACTGTGGAAAGCATTGTGGCACTTTCTCAAAAAGTTGCAAATAAAGATACCATTTGACCAAGCAATCCCACTACTGGGAATATACCCTAAAGAGACCATAAATGACATCCAAGTAGATATATGTATACCCATGTT